AGTCTCTAGGACAATTTCTGGGGCTCCATCTGTCCTTTCATCCTGTGTTTCTATACGCTGATATTTTACTTTTTCCCTGTCCTTCCCATCTCTTCCTTCTCCACTGCCCTCTCCTTCTCTTCCCTTCCTGTCCTCCCTTTAACTTCCCCAGGGCCTTAAAACCCTCCACAAGCCATCCTGCACGGAACCATGCCACTCTGTATTCTGCCTTTAGCAAGTCCTAGAGATGGGTGTGAACCTATGCACACTGAGAACTCCTGTTTAATATGCTTGGGAGTTTTTAATAGGAAAATCCGCTTAAAAATATTTACTTTGGCAAAGGCTTTTTTCTCTGAGTCCATTGAAAAACTGCTTTGTGGCTTAAAATGCTATACTCGGGATCACAAGGCCACCCTAGATGACAGAGAGGAATCAAAAGCTTGGGCACCATGGCCTTGAATAACGATGAGGATGCCAAGCTGTGTGGCACAGTGCTGGTACCAGAGAAATGTATTCTACAATATCTGTAAAAACTAGGCATTTAAATAGACCTATAACCCCTATGCAAATAGAAGCAGTCATCCAAAGTCTCTCAACCAAAAAAATCCCAGGTCCAGATGGCCTCAGTGCAGAATTCTACCAGAAATTCAAAGAACAGCTTATACCAATTCTTCTTAAAGTATTCCACACAATAGAAGCAGAAGAGTCTTTGCCAAACTCTTTCTACGAGGCTTCAATAACCTTGATCCCCAAGCCACACAAAGACACAACTAAGAAAGAGAACTTCAGACCAATATCCCTCATGAACATTGATGCAAAAATACTCAATAAAATACTGGCAAGTCGGATCCAAGAACACATCAAAACAATCATTCACCACGATCAAGTCTATCTCCATGCCCAAAATTTAAGTCCAAATGGATTAAAGACCTTAACATAAACCCAGCCACACTGAACCTCTTAGAAGCGAAAGTGGGTGGTACCCTTGAACGAATTGGTACAGGAGATTGCTTCCTGAACATAACCCCAGTAGCACAGACACTGAGGTTAACAATTAATACATGGAACCTCTGAAACTGAGAAGCTTCTGAAAGGCAAAGGACACAGTCAACAAGACAAAAAGGCAGCCCACAGAATGGGAAATGATATTCACTAACCCCACATCTGACAGATGGCTGATCTCCAAGATTTACTAAGAACTCAAGAAGCAAGTCTCCAAAACACCAAAGGACACAATTAAAAAGTGGGGGACTGAACTAAATAGAGATTTCTCAATAGAGGAGTCTAAAAATGGCTGAGAGGCACTTGAGAAAGTGCTCTACATCCCTAGCAATCAGGGAAACGCAAATCAAAAGAACTCTGAGATACCATCTTACTCCTGTCAGAATGACTAAAATCAAAAACACCAACAGCAGTTTATGCTGCAGAGGCTGTGGAGAAAGGGGAACACTCTTCCACTGCTAGTGGGAATGCCGACTTGTATAGCCACTTTGGAAATCAGTATGGAGATTCCTCAGAAAAATGGGAATCAGCCTACCACAAGGTCCAGCAATTCCACTTTTAGGCATATATCCAAAAGATGCACATTCATACAAGGATATCTGTTCCACTATGTTCATAGCAGCATTATAGCCAGAACTTGGAAGCAACCTAGATGACCCTCAACTGAAGAGTAGATAGAGAAAATGTGGTACATTTACACAATGGAGTACTATTCAACAGAAAAAAAAAACAACGGAATCCTGAAATTTTCAGGCAAAGGAATGGCACTAGAAGAAACCATCCTGAGTGAGGTAACCCAGTCACAAAAAGACAAACATGATATGTACTCTTTCATATATGGATTTTAGACATAGATCTGGGGAGTGCTAGCCCACAATCCCATGGCAAGAGAGTCTGGGAAACAGAACCTTCATCCAATGACTGATGGAAGCAGAGGCAGACTCCCACAGCTAAACACAGAGCTGAAGTCAAGGAACCCAGTGACAGAGATGGAGGACTGATGAGCAAAGGGGTTAAGACTGGGCTGGTTTAACCCCTGGAAACAGCTGACCCAACAAGGGGTAGCTCTTGAATCCCAGACTGATGGCTGGGAATCCAGCATGGGACTGATCATGACCCCTTGAATATGGGTGTCAGTGAGGAGACCTAACGCAATCTATAGGGCCTTAGGTAATATATCAGTATTTATCCCTGGCACAAAAATGGACTTTGGGCGCCCATCCCACAATGAGAGATGCATTCTCACCCTGGATTCTTGGAGGAGGGTCTAGACCCTGCCCTGGATGAAATGACAGACTATGGACACCTCCATGGAGGGCCTCACCCTCCCTGGGGAAAGGAGGTTGTAAATGGAAGCCTTTTTCCTTGCTAACCGCTTTGGTTTATCACCCGCCAGTCGCCTGGGCTCTGCCGCGTTATAGTCCCCAAATAACACACAAGACGCTGTATTAATTATGAAGCTGTTGGCCTTGTTTGTTTCTTACTGGCTAGCTCTGACTTAAGTATTTATCCCATAATTGTTAATCTAAGTATGTCTCTTACCGGAGAAGTTTCCGGGCTTCCTACCCCATGGCAGTTACATCTTGACTCTCCTGTGTTTCTCCTTCCCAGAGTCCTCCTAGACTCCTAGTCCCACCTATCTAGATTCCTATTGGCTCAACAGTGCTTTATTGACATAAGACTTCCTCAACAGGAGGTAGTTTGGGGGGGTTGGTGGGAGGGCATGGGAGGAGGGGAGGGAAAGGGAGAGGGACCTGGGATTGACATGTGAAGCAACCTTGTTTCTAATTTAAATTTAAAAAACAAAAGCAAAAACAAAAAAAGCTAGGCATTTAAAAAATATTTCCAGGAATTTTATGGACATAAGGGACTCCAAAGAAAATACATTCCCCTCCGTTTAATGAGAGGAGATTTTGTTTTTCCAGGCAGGGTTTCTCTGTGTAACCCTGACTGTTCTGAGGCTCAGACATCCTCCTGCCTCTGCTTCCCAAATGCTGGGATTAAGGGCCTGTGCCACCACTGCCTGGCCAGAGGAGGATTTCTAAAGGAAGTAATGGTCGGGGTCACCCCCAGGCTTTTGATATTGTCATCTGCAAAATCCATGCTGGATAAGTATGTAATTATGTTACAAAAAGTGCCCCCCCACAATAAACCTCAGTGTTTTAAATATGTCTGTGATTTTGTTTGGGGTCTTCTTCGTATCTGTCTTAGGGCTCATGTAATCTGCTGGCTGCAATAAACACACTTGGAACTTAAATGTTGTTTTCATGTAACATTATATTAACATGTTTGGTGTGGAATTTGAGAATATTTAATGTCTGTATACCTTTAAGAAATGTCATTTACATGTGAATCACTAGTGCACTGATACAGCTCTTGTCAGTGTTCGGAGATCATTCATGGGCATTCGAAAAGGTGATCTTTCAGGGAAGGACTCCGGGCATGTACCTAGGAATGAATTTCTTTCCAAGATACCAGAACTTAATGGAGCATAGGAAACCCAAGTCACAAATGGGAGCTCAGCATGTAGAACAGAAGTTACCACTGGGTCTGTTACTTTGTTTCATAATCTCCTAAAGAAAGTCTCAGTTTACTTCATTAGAATTTATAATAGCTTGGCCCCTCCTCTGCTTGTTCTGAGTTTTAGATTTAGGTGCAGGGCAAAACAGTGAAGGGGTGGGGGGGACCATAAAACCTTGTGACCAACACTCAGACCATGGTAGTCATTATAGTTAGGTGTGGAATGCAGGCCTTGTCTCATGGTAAGATAAGTAAGCAACCATATACAGTACAAGCCTGCTTCTGTTCACTCTAAACCAAATCTCCCATTATGGAATGTAATAAAGTTTATTTTCTCTTCTTAGTATTAATGATCTAGAAGGGAGAATTCTTAAACATTCTTTGACAATTGTGTACATGTATACAATGTGTTCTTATTTTCACCTCTCGTTGCCCTCCCTCATCGCCTCCTCTTCCTCGTCAACCTCTCCATTCCTGCTTTCATGTTTCTTTGTTTTTTAGTGACTCACTGAGATTAATTAGCATTGCTTGCAGGAGCACAGACCCCTTAGCAGTGGCTACACCACTGAAGAAAATGTCTCCTCTTTCCCCAGCAACCATTAAGTGCCAATAGCTCTTCAAGGAGAATGGAGCCCCTCCCCCCACCAAGATGGAATGTGGGTGGGGTCCCTTCCTGTACAGGTGACCAACGTCTCTGTGAGTTCCTGAGTACAGTGGTAGCCAAAGTTAGCAGCCCTCCTCCCCATCCTGGGGGAGAATTATTTAACTGGCAACATTTCTATGTAGTCAGCAGACTAACTGCCATTTGGGCTGAATGTGTTTTATGGTTTTGACGTGCACCTGTCCTCTGGCTTAAACCGCTTGCCGCAGGTGTCAGCCGAGACAGAAGTGATACTGAAATCTTGTGTTGTCCTTTCTGCCTCTGCTCAGTAGTTAACTCACCAAATCATTAAATGGCTCAGATTGGAGTATGTTTCTAGATCGTCTCAGCCAAAGGCAGCGGACACTTCAATATTATTTTTTAAAATACAGTCACTGTCCTAGTTAGCCTTGATGACATAGGCTAGAGTCATCTAAGAATGGAATTTCAATCAAGGAATTTCTTACCTCATATTGGCCTGTGGATGTTATCTATGAGAGATTCTTTTACTGTTAACTGATGTAGAGAGCCCAGTCCACTGTCTCAGGAAACAAGAAACAAGCCAGAGAGTGAGCTAGCAAGTGTCCTTCCTCTGGTCTCTGCTTGAAGCTCTAGCCTTGAGCTTCTGCCCCGACTTCCCTCAGTGATGGACTGTAAGGATGAGTCAGATAACCAGTTCCTCCCCCAAGCTGCTGTTGGTCAGTGTTTCGTCACAGAAACAGAACGAAACTAGGATGTTCATTCAAGCTATCAATGTAAATTCCCTTCATCAGGAAAAATTCCTGGTTAAATTTTGCAAATATATGTGATATATATGTCTTGGGAAACAAAACTAACGTATTTTCTTTTTGATCCACAGTTGGTAATCAGTGGATAAATTACATCTCATTTTGTGGCCTGAGAACACATGCAGAGCTGGAAGGGAATCTGGTCACTGAGCTCATCTATGTGCACAGCAAGTTGCTAATTGCTGATGACAACACCGTTATTATTGGTAAGTACGTGGTCTGCGCCTGGGCTTCTTGTCTCTGACAGCCCAGGGCCTCAGTTGTTCTCACTTTCCTGTGCTTCGTTGGCAGTTGAGGTTTGCTGTATAACACCTAAACTGTTCCAGAGACAGTCATTTTCTTTTGCATCCCCCCCCCCCGCCTGGTTTTGTTACTTTTGTTCTTAATCTCTACAGAATTAGAGATCCAGAGCAATGGAAGGGACCTTGTGCACACACACCATTTACAAGCAGGGCTTAAACCACACATCTGTCCATCTGCCTGGCCTCATTGACTCATTTTAAGGTGTTTATTTTTGGTGGGTTTTGTGCATGCTATGCATTTTTGTGTGCAAGTCAAAGGCCAGCATGAATGAGTTTCCACCAAGAGGGTCCTGGGGGTTGAACTCTAATCTTTGGCCTTGGCAGCGGCTGTCATTTCATACTGAGCCATGTCACTAACCCTGATTTTATTAATTATTTATTATTCTCTTATTTTTTATTTGAGTCCAAGTGCCTAGGTTTTTGGGATTGGGAGGAAAGAAATCCACAATGAAATCGTTTGGAACGAGAGATGTGTGTGGTCCATTCATCCCACATCATCTGACCTTCCCCACAGATCCAGTGTCAGAAGGATGCTTAAGTCTTACTGTCAGAGTTTACCAGGATTTTTTCTAATGTTTATGTCTTGGATACTCTCAACCAAGGTGTGGAACTGTCAGCTTTGCTGAGATGGGTGGAAGTGGGGAGAATCGTGTTTTAGTGAAATCCCTGTTTTAAGATCAAAGTCCTTCTCCAACAATGATACAAGGTGCACTTCTATAAAGCCCTTTTCACCTCACTGGCTCAGGAGACAGGCATGCACATTCTGGATTGGACCTTCTGGGCATGTCTGGGAATGTCTGCAACAGTGAGGACACAGGCATGCCGATTCATCTCTACCCTCACAATCGAACACAGTCCTTTCCAGTTGGAGGGACTTACCTTTAAGTCCATGGCTCCTTAGATAAGGAATTTCCAAGGTTTTAGTCTGTTCACTAACCACCTCCTCTAAGTCCCCTCAGGAGTTTCTTCAGCCGTAGGTAGTGCAGAGCCCTGGCTTCCTGCAGTCTTCAGCTGCTCCTGCAGCTCCTTTTGAGTTTCCTTCATGTCATTTCTGAGGAGTCCCCTCAGCTGTGTGTGCTGCACAGCCATTTGCTCCTTCAGTATTTGCTTTAGTCATTTCTGAGGAGTCCCCTCGGGTGTGTGTGCAGACAATCAGCTCACTCCTTCACACCCTCCTTCTTTTTCATCAAATGATCTTTTCTATCGCATTTCTTTTCTTATGGTTCCTGAGACATTTTCTGCTGAAAAGAAAAATGGAAATTAATTGCTTTGGAAATAATAATAATCATAATGTGAGGGGAATAAAAAGCAACAACTTAGGGAAGATATGCATCAAACATTTAATATTCAAAACACAAACGTTTCTGTGGTTGACAGTGAATGCTGCTCTAGACCAAAACAATCTCCAAGCCATCCCGGGTATATTGCCATGTACCAAGCAGTATATTTTTAACTCTTAATGGTCAGAGTGCCCAAGAAATACCCTCAGGCCAAAGCTGCCGCAGTTATTCAAATTCTGGCATTACACAATGTTTACATTTTATATCTTTATAGTAAACTTTTGTTATCTTTCTGCATCATTTTTTGTCATCAGTTTAAGTCTCTGTGTAGGACAGAGGTAACTTCAGCTGATCTAATTTTATTGCTGTATATGCCACATAATCACCCTAAGGCAAAGGGTGGGTCAGTTAATTTAAGGGGAAAAAAACTGGCTAGAAACAAGCCAGGCTAAGTTCAGAGAGAATATGCTTCTGTGTGTGATTTATTTGGGAGCTGGGTGATGGGGCCCCCAAAAGAACAAAGAGTAAGAGCAAAGAATAACAAACAATATCTTGTCACCCAACATGAAGCTAGAATAAAAGAAACTCTGCTCCAGGAATCACTGTCTCTGCCTACCTTACACTGGGATTGTAGGCGGATTGTCATGCTCACCCAGCATTTACATGGGTTCTGGGAACATGAGCTCTGGTCCTCATTTTATCAGACCTGAGGCTCATTGCCTGTGCTCCAAGCCACACATCCTCAACAAGGCAATTACAAGAGCCGGTTTAATAATGGAAACAGAAAAAAAAAGAGGAGATTTATTCAATGTGGCCATCTTGAGAAAAGAGAAACCCAAGTGGAACCTCTAAGTCCATCTTCAGGGTTCTGCAGTAAGACTGTCAAGTTTAAATAGAGAGCCAAGGTTATGAACATCTAAGCGGTGCCCATCGAGGTGTGGTCCTGCCCCCCACTGACTCATCATTGTGGGCTTTAGTCTCATCTTGTGAGGTGGTCTGATAAATTGTTACAGCTGTGAAATCTCTTGCCAGGAGATAAGTTCCTGTTGGGCTGCAGTCTTTCCTTTCTCCCGGCATGGGATTGTTTCTATAGTCTGGTAGTCAGGTTGAGAGACACAGTGTATTCCAGTGTATCTGTGGAAGTGATCTTCCATTCCTTCTAGGCCTGTTACACTGGCTTGTGCAGACAGCACGTAATGTTTCAGCTCACACTGCCAGGATTGTACTCCTGCCCTCTGCCCTCTGGAGTCAGGGACTGCTGCCATGGGAGGGATTTGGGGTTATATATGGGGGTTCCAGGCTGGCTCCCCCTCCCGTTCTGATCTTGGCTAGAGAAGGGCAGCCCAGTCCTGCAGACCCAGTCCATGAGTGGTCTCTGATTAGGGCAGGAAGAGAATGAAGTCCCAGAGAGGCACCAGGGGAGTTCCATTCATGCACCTAGGAGGGAATGCTTGGGCTAGAGAAGGTGATACAAACTCTGTGTTCCAGTAAATTCTCCCCACCTGCAGCCCTGGTCTTACCAACACTGCTCCCTTAGATAAGACCTGAACAGCTAACATGGAAGGGCAAAGTCTCACAGGGTTCTACACCTAAACAAAGAACTGCAGGGAACTCAGGAATGCTGATGGTGAAGAAATAATCTCTCACAGGATGGACCCCCAAATTGGTTATCCAGTACCAAATGGTCAGCTCTTGAGTCATATACATTCAAGTAGCTCTAAATGAACTAAAAGGGTTGTATTTATGCATTTATACATATGACGATATCATTATTGATATATATGCATATGTAACAATTAAAATGAGGCCATAAAGTTGAGAAAAGACAATAGGAGGAGCATTGGAAGGGTTAGAAGGAGAAAAGGGAAGAGGGGAAATCATGTAATTATATTTTAACTGAAGATGCAATTGAAAAAGCTGTCAAACCTCATGGTGTAATACTAAAGCTAATTTAGTGTATGTCTGTGCTTTACCATAATCCACCACAGTGTTTCTTCTGTTGTGAGGAATCAGGTAATAGAAAGGAATGCATAGCATACATCAGAAAATAAATAGACAAACAAACACACAAATGAATAAATAAATAAACGTGATCCTTCCCAAGTGAAGGTCAACATCCTTGGGGAACTGAGGTTTTATCTCTAGACCAGACTGCCTTGAACTCACAAAGATCTGCCTGCCTCTGCCTCTGCCTCTGCCTCTGCCTCCTGAATGCTGCGATTAAAGGCCTGCACCACTATCTCCCCCTGAGTTGAGGTTTTTCAAAATAGAGAAAGTTGATACCAAAGCTATGGCCTGCCACACAAGTGGAGGTGGAGAGTTACCATCGATGGCAGACTGTATTTCAGGTTAGCCAGGGACTGTGAAAGCATTTCTGGCATTTGATGTTACTTGTCATATCACTTAAAGACTAGGAAGCTTGTTCTTGTTTTTGTTTTTTTCTTGTTTTTGTTTAAAACAAAAACCTATCAACTTCTGTACTGAACTGGATGGTGTGCTGTTTTCTTTGAACTCCTTCAAAGAGTCAGTTAACCAGCAGATGCGGGTAGAAAACCATAGCATGTGAAACAATAAGGAGAATGTATTGCTTCATAAACCGGTTAAGAAAGCTCTAGCGTTAACTAGTTTAGAGTCTTCCAGATTTTGTTGTAGCAGGCTTTCTTGAACTCTGGCGTTAACTAGAGTCTTCCAGATTTTGTTGTAGCTTTCTTGGACTGCCAGTTATGCATCCTTGACCTTATCTTATAATTGTCCCACTCGCTCTTATAGCTGAAATCAATCTATTTCTCTCCATCATTGTTTTGTCTCAGGGCTGTTTACCTTTCCTTCATTTTGTATGTCCTATCCCATGTCTTGCTGACTAGCTGGCCCTGGGTGTCTCCCTAGTTTTCTTCCTCATTCTTTCTTCTCCCTTCTCTCCTCTTATTCTTTCTGCCCACCAACCCCATCTATCCCTCAACTGCCTACCTATTGGCAGGTGCCTTAGGCAGGCAAGGTGAAACAGAAGCACATCTTTACATAATTAATGAATGCAGCATAAACAAATGTAACACATCTTTCCCTAAACAAATGCAACACACTTTAACATAGTTAAAGTAATATTCCACGACATTTTGTAGTTTTTTACAATTATTTTCATTTATGTGTATTGTGTGAATCTCCACGTGTGTACACATATGAGTGGTCTCTATGGAGTCCAGAAGAAGGCATTAGAACATCTGGCTCTAGAGCTACAGGATGTTTGAGCCACTGGACATGGGTTCTGGGAATGAACTAGGGTCCTCTGGAAGAGCAGGAAGCACTCATAGATGTTGAGCCATCTCTCCAGCCTATGGACATTCTCTCTGTCCTTCAGCCTGGGCTTGTTGGGTTAGTTAGCCAGTCCATCAGCCTTGACTTGTTGGATTAGCCTGTCTTTTAGCCTCATGATGGGACCTTCTGAGGTCAATGTCCAAAAGATAGGAAAGATGGTATAAAGCTCTGTTTTCTCAGAAGTTCCTTGGAAGCTTTCTTTCATATTCTGTGGTCCAGAACCATGCCACATACTATCTCCTAAGCTAATCACTGGTAAATATGATGGCATTATGATTCTAGGCTGCTTTAGAATGATAAAAGGTGACACTTAGGCTAATCCTACAGAGGCCCCTACCTCCCTAAACTACATCTTCCCTAGGTCACTTTGACAAAACTGGGTGTTGTGAGCCAGGAAGCATGGAGAAGGGTTGGCCCATTGGCAGCGGCTGTCATGAGAAGTTGTTCATTTCTGCTGTTTCTTCTTTTAGGATCTGCCAACATCAATGACCGGAGCATGCTGGGGAAGCGAGACAGTGAAATGGCTGTCATAGTGCAGGACACAGAGACAGTCCCTTCAATAATGGATGGAAAAGAATACCAAGCTGGCTGCTTCGCCCAAGGGCTTCGGCTGCAGTGCTTCAGGTGACCCTACAGAGCCATGAGTCTGTATCAGTTCCACAGTCGCAGTGTTGGGTCTCAGGGCCACATCTCACCCTTGGCACTCCTGTCATGCCAAATTCTTTTTTTAAAATCTAGAACAATGTCTCCCAGAGTGGAGGATATACACACTAGTATAAAAATGTCTATTATATATATATATATATATATATGTGTGTGTGTGTGTGTGTGTATGTGTGTTTTAATAAGCTGTCATCTTTATGTATAATAGCACAAACTACCATTTTAAATATAATCAGATATAATCAATTTAAGGTCAGGCCAGATCAAACCATCTAGGTAGGAACCGTTTCAGTTTTTCAAAGCAACTTCACGTTTAAAAACCTAAAGAAACAGGTATTTCCATAGGTAAAGGTACTCCCCACTTAGCCTGATGACCTCAGTTCAGTCACCCCAGCTTACAAGGTGGAAGGAGGGAATCTTCTTTTTTTTAATTTAAATAAGAAACAAGCTTGCTTCACATGTCAATCCCAGCTCACTCTCCTTCACCTCCTCCCCCATCGCCCCCAGCCCCCTGACCCCCTACCCAATCCCCACTCCACTCCCCAAGGAGGGTGAGGCCCTCCATGGAGGATCTCCAGAGTCTGTCATATCATCCAGGACAGGGCCTAGGCCCTCCCCCATGTGTCCAGGCTGAGAGAACATCCAAAGGAGGGAATCTTCAAGTTGTCACTCACACATGGGGACATGGTGAAGGAGAGCACCAACTTCCTTAAGTTGTCCTCTGACCTCCACATGCCCTGTGACATAAGCACCTTCAGGCACACAAGAAATTGCAAGGCTATAATAAGTACTGCTAAAAGTGTTCTAGTGGCTGTGGCAGCAGATTTAAGTATGAACACTACATTTCCCAAGTTTAAAAAGATTCCAGACATGAGAGATCCCTGGTCTTCCTAAAGGCAGACAGGGTGCTGAGGGCTATGAAACAAGACTGTGTGACTCTAAGGGACTAAGTGCTGTTGTTGGCCCTGGCTAGGGTTAACTGCCCCCAGACCCTTTAGTCTATAATTAATAGTCATCCTTCTAAACCTTCTAGATCATATCACTCTTTTGCTCACTACCTTCTAGCTCCTTACCTCAGAACTAAGCAAGGAACAGGTAAAACTTCCCAGAGGTATTAATCCGCATGGTCTGTCAACACATTAACCTCTCCCCCAGCAGTAGACCTTGTCAGGAGCTCTTTAGGATTCTAGAACCACCCTTTCTCTGATGTCATCTCATTTGTGACCTATAGGGGTCTCTGTGACCACCAAGGCCAGCAGAGTGCCAATCGGAGTGAGACAAAAAGGAAATCAGGTTCAACATGACTTAGCCAGTGTTGGTTTGAACTACCCCGACCCTGAGTAGTTTATTATAGGCATATTTAAGTTGGGTGTAATTTTGAAAAAAGGTTTCCTATTGTAACACAATCCTCAGTGCACAGGAGGCATAATTTCATCAAAGAAATTCTTCTCATAGTACGTGTCACTTCTTCCAGGAAGATGGGTTCTAGAGATAGGCTACATGTGTTTTCTTAAGGGCCTAGGGGAGAACCTGGTGTAGTCTTAGTCCTACAGATAGTATAGAGGTCACCTGAGCTGTTAGCCACTTCTTGTCCTGGTTGGGGGAGCCCCTGAACATACAGATAATGCAAAGGTCACCTAGACTACTAGCAACCGCTTATCTTGCATTTGGGATCTTGGTATGGCTTGGACCTATAGATATCATAAATCACCAGATTATTAACCACTTTCATCTTCAGCCTTGTGGGTGGTAAAACAAATTACACACCTCTTTCACTGAAAAGACAATCTTGTGTTTTGACATTCCTGTTTCCTTAGTGCTTGTCTGTGAGAGCAAGGACCTTCGTGCTCCCAATAGTGGCCTCTGGGGTGAGACGTACTGGGTGCCCCTGATGTAGTCAAGGGTTGTGCTTTCTGCTGCTTGAGGGAGGTATGCCCTGTGACACCATTGTTTTCATCCTTCGTGTGATAATGGTCCATTTGGCAACTGGCTCACACCCAGGGAGGACATGTACTAGGCACTGCACTTTTTACCAATAGGATGACCTTCTTGATGGCCATCTTCCGTCTTCCTTCAGATCTAGCAGACTCGGCTCCCCAGATGTAGCTCCTTTCCAGACAAACCCAGTTTTTGCTCTCAGCTCAAAGAACTCAGCAGAGCCATGCCTCAAAAACCAAAACAACAACAGCAACAACAAAAACCTCAATACCTTTCAACCACTTTTATTGCTGTATTTGTCACCTTTATTACTAATTATTTGGCCAGTGAGAATTCTTTCAAACCATTGGCGTTACAGAAAAGTGCTGCTAATTTGTTTTGTTTAGCAGGGGAGAATTTAAAATTAGTGCCTTGCTAATTGACTCACTGGTTTCCTATTCCAACATACACAAGGAAATAATTATTTCACTTTTTAAAGCTGAAGCTATGCTGTATCCTTTCAGTGGTGGGTGAGCTTAAGTAGTCTCTTTAAAATGGTGGGCTTCTTCATATATCTTTAGGTATATGCTGATTATAGAGGGACAGGATTATGCCTTGCGAGCTATTATTCTCTTGTAGAAATTATAAAATATAAATATAAAAATATAAAAGATATATAAAAAACAGTAAGAAGGTAAATTCATTTGTAATTCCACCACCCAGTGCCAATAGGTTTTAAACTTTAGTTTTAAATTGATATATAAATTGCAAAGATTTATGAAGTGCTATGTGATGTATTTATATATGTGCTTACTGACTAATACCTAGATTAGCATGAGGATAACTTAAAATGGTTATAATACATGTTTGGGCAGTGCACATGTGGCGAACAGAGGACAACCGTGGGGAGATAGTTCTCTCCATCTGCCTGCTGAGACAGGGGTCTCTATTGTTTCTGCCTTGGTGAGTACTCCAGACTAACTGGGCTGCCAGCTTCTGGGATACTCTCCTCTTTGCACTGGCATCTCACTGTAGGAGTGTTGGGATTAAAGATGTGCACCACTGCCTTGGGCTTGTTAAGTGGGTTTCAGAAATCAAAATCAGGTCAGCAAGCTCGCAGGACAACTTTCTATCTATGTATCTATCTATGTATCTATTTATCTATCTATCTGATGAACCATCTCTCTAGTTCACCACCATCCAAAGTCTCCCATGAAACTCACCAGAACTTCTTACTCAGGTCTACAATGACTTAGTTCCCATTCACCCACCAGGTTTCATGCTCTGTTCCTTGTCGCCCCAGAACTGGTAACCATCATTCTATTCTCAAACATCTGTGAGGTCTTTTCCATGTCCCATTTACACGATGAAACCATCCTGTCTTTCAACGCCTGGCTTATTCCTTGATGATCCCTACTTTCATCCATGCTGTCACCAATGGCAGGATTTCATTCTGATATGTGATTTAATAGCATTCATTTGTATGGATAAGCTGCATTTTCTGTATTCACCCATCAGTCGATGGACACATAGTTTGTTTCTGCTTTCTGGTTCTTCTTCATAATGGCATAGTGAACATGGGGGTGCAGTTGTCTTTGACTCACTGAAATAACTTCTCTGGAGATAACCCAGTAACGGGGATTGTGGGTGGGATCATACAGCTCTCCTTTAATCATTTGACGAACCCCTGGCATGGGTTGTTATCCCTAGCAATACAGTAAGGGTTTCCTCTCCGCAGCTCACAGTATGCTAACAATTTTTACATTTGGCGTCTAGCATTTTACTGTTTCCCTGCACATGTATTAATATATATTGCAAAATTTAAATCTTACAGGTCCTGAATATTCTCAATTTTTAAGATTAATTTCTTTATTTCTGTGTACATGCATATGCGTGTGCACATGAATGTGAAAGTCCAAGGATTGCTTGTAGGAGTTAGTTTTCTCCTTTCACATTGAGAGTCCTGTAGATCAATTCAGGTTTTCAGACTTGGAGTTATCAGGCCAGCCCCTGTATACCTGTATATTCTGTTTCCTCTCCCTCCTCCTCCCCCTCCCTCTCCTCCTCCCCCTCCCCATCCTTCTACTTCTTCTGGTTTTTTGAGACAAGGTTTCTCTGTGTAACAGCCCTGGTGCCCTGGCTGTCCTGGAACTCGATCTGTAGACCAGAGATCCACCAGCCTCTGCCTCCCAAGTGCTGACATTCACACCCGGCCCCTGAATGTCCTTTATTATTTAAATGCGGCACGTGCTTTTCCATGTCAGTGTTATTCTGTAGAAATTTAATGTTTGCATCATGCTTCATGTGTGTATGACATAATTTCTTAAAAACATAGCTTTATGTCTGCCACAAATTTTTGTTGATATTAAAAGATGTAGATATTTTTGTTTGTTTGCTTTTTTTTGTGAGCAAAAAACGTGCCAATTTTTCTCAGACAGGGGAAGCTGCATGTGACCCCAAATTCCTTTTTAAGTCGCTAACCATTTAATGGCTCATTCCTCCTATTTCTTCAGTATCTGTTACTGTAATCTTTGTCAACTTTTAATTTTGAGTGGAATTTCATTATTTTGTGATTTTTTAAGGTTTTTTAAAAAAATGTGTTTATTAGTCAAGAATACATGCTCTTTTGTGAGCTTGCCCACTTTTTCTGGAATGTTTAACTTTTTTTTTTTTTTTTTTTTGGTTTTTACGAGACAGGGTTTCTCTGTATTGCTTTGGACGCTATTGGTCCAGCCCGGCCTCAAACTCACAGAAATCCGCCTGCCTCTGCCTCCAGAGTGCTGGGATTAAAGGTGTGCGCCACCACCGCCCGACCGTTTAACTTTCTTTTAATGATTACTTATTTTGTTGAATATGGTTGAGCAATTTCTCCTGACTCCTACTTAGGGTGAATTTATTCAGGTATTGTTAACCAAACTTATTAATTTTTTTCCCTTTGCCTATTTGCTAAGAATATATTTCCTAGCCTAAGGTCAACAGTTACTTTTGGATTTTGGTTTTTGTTTTCTTCCTAGTATTTGTTTACATTTTACATTTTGTATTTAACATGTGTCCTTCCTTCCTTCCTTCCTTCCTTCCTTCCTTCCTTCCTTCCTTCCTTCCTTCCTTCCTTCCTTCCTTCCTGTTTAAGCCTCTTTGGTGGTAGAATTCCAAGTGTGCACCACCGTGCCTCACAGAGTAGAATGTTTTGACGTAGGAAATAAGACAGGGTCTCTAGATTTTCTTTCCCTCATCTGGTCAAGAGGTGTGTGAAGTAGTAGTATTTACCTGCTTCTTTTTAAACATTTGCTGTTGTGTTTGCTTGTTTTTGAGACAGGGTCTTCCCTGTGTAGCCCTGGCTGGATTGGAACTCATAGAAGCCTGCTTGCCTTTGCCTCCTCAATGCTGGGGTTAAAGCCTGTGTCACCATACCTTGCTTTATACATACATACATACTTACACACACATGCCATACACACATTTCAGACAGGATCTGGTGTAGCCTAAACTCACTTTGTGGTTGAGGATGACCTTGAACTTTTGGTCCTCCTGCCTCCATCCACCAAGTACTTGTATGATACTTGTGCACTTCCTCATTCAGAAGTTTATCTGCTGTTAAATGCTTCTTTATGATACTGGCAATTGCCACAATTGTGGCTTTCCTTCTGTCCTTGTCACATTATATTGAAAATCTGTTTTCTTACACACCAGTGTGACATAATTTTCATGGTCTCAGCTTTTAAATTGTTTTGTCACACTACTTCCTCAGTGTAGTATTGTTTTGAACAAATTTGGCTATTCTAAATGTTTATTCTTTCACATGAACTCTAGAGCTATTTACTCAAATTCTCTTACATCCTTAGTTTTCTTTTTAACTGGCAGTATAGCAGATCAACATTAAACACTTGATGTCTTTGTAATATTGAGTCATCTTACTGAAGAAGGCATGAGCCTTAATTTATATAGTGTTTTATTCTCTGCTTGTCTCTGCCTATATCTCTGTCTCTTTCTCTTTCTCTCATGTGTGTGCATGTTCGTGCGTGTACATATTCATGTGTGTGCACATGCCTGTGTGTGAGGGGTCACTAAGAATGCCGGGAAAAGGTAGTAGGATATTTGTTCAGATAGAGAAAAGTAACTTACATGAGATACTGGGAAGCTGGGAAGCTCTCTGAAACGTGGCCAGCATCCAAAGGGGGCGAATTACTTTCTCTTTTCCCTTTTATCTCTCGCCTGTCCCATGTACCCCTGTCCACGCCCCAAAGTATCTCCGGTATGTGAACTCTCCC